TTAGCTCCTTGAAAACCTCAATAAAGATCAGCTCAATTCCAGCCTTTCTCCAGTGCTTGTGCTGGTAGAAGGGCTGTGTTCTGCCAAGGATTAAAGCATCATGGATTTGGGTGACTACCCACTAAAATAACTCCAGGTACCCCTTAAACAGGATCTCACGACAGTGAAACATGCTCTGAGCTTTGCCCATCCAGATATTACTGAAATTTAACTCAAACCTAAGTTGACAACCAGCCCTCAAGAAGAGAAGGCAGCACAGCAGGAAGATCACTGCACTTGGGCAGGAGCTGTGTTCTCCCAGGACTGTCAATCCCATTTCAAGAGGAAGATGGACATGAAAGTGACTCCTATGTCCCAGTGAAACACTCAGTGAGAGCAGCACAGCCACAGCAGGTATGTGCTGCCCCGTGCCCCAGCTGCATCTCCAGCCACATGGAGCTGATGGAAGGGAAGGGATGGAACCAGGACAGCAGAGAGCTCTCAGCAGTGCCCAGCGACCACAGCGTCCCTCTGTCCTCCTCAGCCCCAACAGCTCCTGAAGATTCAAACACAGCACCCAAAGGGCATGGGAACATAAGGTATGTGCTCCTTGGCACACTCACCAACATTCCCTGACCAGCCCTCGTGAAAAAATGTGGCATTAAAAACAACCCCACTGCCTGAACAGAGCTGGAATTCTAATGAAGTCACTTGGATGATTTATAAATGGAAATTCTGTGGAAAACAATTCATTCAGCAGGTCACTCTGAAGATTTTTAGCACAGAAACAAGGGTTTCTTGTAGAAGATGAGAAGAGACAAAGGAAGGGGGACAGAAGAAGGGATGCAGCAAGATATCCCACAGGTGCCCAATTCATCCAGGTCAGAGCAGTGGCTCCAGCTCCTGCCCAGCCATCAGAGCAGCTCTGACAGAGCACAAGAGTCCAACTTTGCATGGGCAGGGACTGAATGTAAATTGCTGCCTTGGTTAATACGTAAATTGCAGACTGTTCCCTTCTATTCCATCGGCTCCAGCGGAGACAATTATGAATACAGGCCTCCTGCCCTTTGGGATGATTAACATTCCCCTTCCTCAGTGTCCCCAGCACTGCTGACCCACATTCAGCTCCTGAAATGCAGTTCTATGTAAACTGCAACGTTGGGTGTCAGCAGAACGTGCCAGCCCAGCAGGGCCAGGTGCTCTGCTCCTCTCTCTAAGCAAATGCAGTGCTCAACTTCCCAAGGGCCAGGAAAATCTCAGTCCATTAAGATCAGAACCCAACTACCTCCACTTCTCTTTTTAGGGAAAAGGGGACACAAGCCAGGAATGCTCCAGCTGTTTATCTCGAGCTGTCATGTCAAAGTCCACCTGACCTGGTAAATGTCCGTCAGAAAGGAAAACAGGATCCAACACCCATCCACAGACCACCTCCAACGCCAGGCTCAGCAATGGACACCAGCCCACACCATCACTAGTTCCACCTTCTGGAAAAGGCCCCAAATCACGGGGTACATCATTTCCAAGCTCACACAGCCACTCAGAGCGGAATTCCGTCTGAGATGGTGCAGGAGCGCGGTTCCCGAGGAGGGGCCGTGACGAGCAAACCCGCTTTTCTCTAAGAGAATGTGACACGGGGTCAAGTTTGTGCAGGGATTTGGTGGCTATATTTGAGCTGCCCGGTTCTCTTATGCAGCTACTACTGGGAGAGCAGGATCACCTCAGGAAGGGGCTGCCAGCACAGGCAGCAACCAGGCTGCGCCTGCGTTTCGTGATCAAAGAATTCTTTCAGATGCCTAAATGGGACCATTTTGCCAAGGTTTCACTCGCTTCCAAGTTGTTTCCATTAAGTCAAAGTGTTAAAAGTGTAACTGTGATGAAGACAAGCTCGCAGTAGCATTATTTTGTATTTCTGCTGCCAGTCAAAAACGCTTCCCCATAAGGATTTGGCTTTTCCAATGCATTTACATCAACGCCTCCCCTCTAATCTCATGAGTCCCAGAGCCTGAACCAAGCAGCTCCTTTCTCCTTCCCCACTCCTCTCCCAGAGCCAACAGCAACAGCTCTGTCAGTGAAGGAAAAGTACTGAGGCCACAGTGCTCAGGGTCTGCAAGCAGAATCCAATCCGTTCACTCGCACTCCTCTCCAGAGGCTGGGATTTGAAAGGAAACCTGACCTCGGACTTAAGAAAGCTTCCAGGTCAAGTTTCAGCTCCAAGCTATCCCAGCTCAGCCGAACAGATGGCAGTTGTTCCAGCACAGGTATTTCCCCAGGCTCGGGGAGCCCCCAGAGTTCAGAGGGACAGGGACTGGGTCTCCTCCATGCAGGGAAGGTGCTGCAGGTCAAACCCGCTGCTCCAGAGTCCCCAGCACCTCACCATCCCACCAGAAAGCTGCTTCCTCAACTCCACAGCCCACCCTCGGTCATTCCAGGGCAGCAGGAATGAGTGTACACTGCTGCAAAGCAAAGCTTTCCAAGCTTAGTGTCCCCTTCCATCACGAAAGGCCAACATGCAAAATCCAGCCTTGGCCCTGTAAACCTGTAACACAATTTCCAGACAAAATGTGTGTGTGTACTCTGCCGTCCTTTGGACAAAATCAACTATTCCTGCACAAAAGATGGTCTCTGGTTTGGTGTTTTGCAAACTTCAGCGTCAGCACCACTGAGAAGAAACCTTGACCCAAGGAGGGAGTCTGGAAACAGGAACAGGAAAGCAGCTTGGAGCTAGATCCCTCATTTTCCAGGAATGATCTCCAGAGGGGTCAGTGCCCTGCACTCGGAGCACCTGAACCCATCACCCTGTTACTCTCAGCAAGGTTCAGGTTCATCATGGGGAGAACAACAGCACAGAGCCTCAAGTGCAGGTTAAATTGTGGCATCGAGCACTTGCAGGCACAAAATAGCCGTCAGGGCAGGCAAATACAGCCCAGCTCTGAAAAGAACTGTCCAGGAGGTGTTATAACTGATGTTTAAATAGCCCCTGAAATTAATTTCATCTTATTATCCGGGCAAAGAGCCAGAGTTCCAACAAACCAAGGCGATGGCGGATTTCTCCTCCCGTTTCAAAACAATGCTGCTCCTGGAACTGACAGAGGGGAAAACCCCAGAAAGTGACAGAGGCATAATCCCTGAAACTGATAGAGGGACAAGCCCGGGAACTGACAGAGGGACAACCCCGGGAACTGACAGAGGGACAACCCTAGGAACTGACAAAGGGAAAATCCCGGGAACTGAGAGAGGAATAACCCCAGGAACTGACAGAGGGACAAGCCCAGGAACTGACAGAGGGACAAGGCCAGCCAACACCATCCTCCCTCTGCAGCGCTTCCAGGAGCCAGCGCGGAGCCAAGAGCAGGGCAGGCGCAGGGCTTTGGTTCGGGCCTGTCTGCTGCCTGCCCGTGCCAGCCCCGCTCCTGCCGCAGCTCCGGGGCCACCCCGGGCTGGCACTGCTGCATGCAGCACCACGAGCCGTGCCCGGCAGCCCGGTGTCACCGGCACCACCGGGAGCACGGCGGCAACAGAGCGGCTCCTCACGGATCTCCTGCCGCGCTCCGGGGCTCGCCCGTGCCGGGATCCACCCGGATCTCCCGCCGTGTTCCGGGGCTCACCTGGCAGCGCGGCCGTACCTGGATCCACCTGGATCCGCCGCTCCCTCGGGAGGCCCTTCCTTCCTCGCGCTGCTCCCTGCGCTTTCCCACGGCCCGGAGGGCTCGGCCACGATCGATTCCCACCGTCTCGGTAAGAAACGACCTGTCCCCCACCTGCGCTCCGCGCCCCCCCGGCTCGCCGGGAGCATCCCCGGGTACCGCGGGAGCATCCCCCCGCTCCACCTCCACGTTATCCCGGAGCCACGGGACCCGCGGGGACACCCGTGTCACCCGTGACAGCGGCCCCGCTCCCCGGCAGCGCCCGCCCGGGGCAGGGGGGGCTCGGGGCCGCTCCCCGCTCGCTCCCCGCTCACCGGGCCGGCGCCGCGACCCCCGCGGGGGACTCACCTTGGCGCGGGTCACCAGGTGCGTGGCGAGCTTCACCACGGCGAAGTTGCCCTTGCCGATGGTGCGCTCGATCTCGTAGTAGCCGATGCGGGCGGGCCCGGGGGGCCGCGGGGGCGGCGGGGCCGGGGAGAGCCGGGGGGCCGCGGGGGGAGCCCCCGCTCCGCCGCCTCCTCCCGCCGCAGCCGCCGCCGCCATCTTGTCGCGCGGAGCGAACCCCCCCGCGGGGCTGCGGCACCGCGTGAGCTCATCCGCGGGGGGGCGCCGGGGGGCGGGCGGCTGCCATGGCGACGGGGGCGGCGCTCTAACGTCACCGCTCGCGTCACGGGCGCGCGGGCCGCGGAGGGCGCCCCCGCGCGGCGGACAGAGGGGAGAGCAAGGAGCGCGCTGCGGGTTTGGGGAGAAACCCGCGGGAAATGGGAAACTTGCCGCGCGTGACGTCACGCCATCAGGGACAGGCCCCCCTCCCCCGGTCACATACACCTGGGTCACGCGTCATCTCGGGAGGAGAATGACGTCATGGAGAGAGGCTGAGGTGGGCCGTGGGTGCTGCGATTTTGGGGAGAAACCAGTGAGATATGGGAGATGAGTCTGACGTCACGTTCCAGTGGGGATAGCTGAATGATGTCATGGTGAGACCGCCCCATCTGGTGCATCCCCGGGGCCAGGGAGCTGCTTGTGTTTTGGGGCAGAACCCACGGTAATTGGAAACTTGTTCTTGTGACATGACTCCTTGTAGGGACATCAGGGACCCCGCACATGCAGGGCAGAATGACGTCAGGGGCGTTAGAATGACGTCACGGCGAGGGGCGGGAGGTGCCGAGGTTTTAGGGTGAAACCCACGATAAACAGGAAGAGGATTCCCCGTGCCATCACTCTATCAGGGAGTGACTCCATCACCCCCCACCTGGGTGGCGCTTCGCCTCGGCGTGACGTCACGGGAGCGCCGCAGTGACGTCACGGCGGGGAGGGCGGGAGTTCCGCGGGCGCGGGGCGGAAGCGGCGGCAGGGGCGCGCGCGGGGAAGCGGAAGCGGAAGCGGCGCAGGCGCGGGGCCGAGCGGAGGGGACGCGCCCGCCATGGAGTCGCGGGGGAAGGAGCCGCAGCCGCCGTGAGTGCGGGGGCACCGCGGGGCGGGGCGGCGCCCGCCCGCCAGCACCGCCGGGGCGCGGGGACAGCGGGAGGAGGAAGGGGAGGGGGCCGTGGGGGGAACCCGCCCTGCTCAGCCCGGCCCAGCCCAGCCCAGCCCGGTCCGGCCCGGCCCGCCGCGGGGGGCTGCGAGCGGCGGCCGCGGGAAGCATCGTCCCGCTGCTCTTCCCGCCGTAGATCCTCCGGGATGTGCGAGGATGATGAAGGGCTGGAGCATCTCTGTGATGGGGAGATGATGGGGAGCTGGGCCTGGCCAGTCCGGAGAAAGGAATCCCATCGATCCGCACAGATATCTCCAGGGAGCGCCACAGGATGGTTCCAGGCTCTCGTTAGTGATGCCCGCCAGCAGGACAAGGAGCAGGGGCCATAAACTAAAATGCAAATTCCACCGCAACGTGGGGAGGAACTTCTTCCCCTGCGGGGCGGCAGAGCACTGGAACAGCTGCCCAGGAGATGGGGATCTCCTTCTCTGGACATTCCAACCCACCTGGATGCATTCCTGTGTCACCTGCTCCAGCTGGCCCTGCTTTGGCAGGGGGGCTGGACTGGGTGATCTCCAGAGACCCCTCCCGATCTGTAATGGTTCTGGGATCAATGGGATCAATCCCACCACGCTGCTCTGCTCCCAGAGCCAGATTATCCACCTGGACTGTGCAGCTCAGCAGCTGTAAGCTGGATCCCTGGGCACTAATAGGGACTTATCCTGGGAGTCTCAGCCGTTGTTGCTGAGCTGTTAAAGCCTCATGGCTCAGGTGTGGGGCTGCAGAGCATCCTTGGAGCTGGGCTTTGTTCTCTGTGCTGGGGCATCCATCGGGGCCTGGCTCCAGGGGAACGTGTGCTGCAGAGTCACTCTGGTATGGAGCAACATCCGTGTTGCTGTTCCCAGCCAGCTGCCAGCAGGCACAGGAGCAGGCAGGAGTTGTGTGCAGCAGATTCCTGCAGCCCTTTGCCAGCCCTGCTGCTGTGGGAGCTGCTGGAGCAGTGGCTGTGAACTGTTCTTCCCACAGGAACAGGATGGGCATGGGGGACTCCAACCCGGCAGCAGTCCCACACGCCGCTGAGGACATTCAGGGAGATGACAGGTGGATGTCACAGGTAAGGCTGGCAGGGGATCCTCCTTATGGGGGGGTGTTGGGCCAGGCTACACTTGGGACCCCGAGATCACAACAGCCTGGAGCTGGCAGCTGTCACACCTGTGTCACACCTGTGTGTCCTGCCATGATGGGGCAAAGAGAGGATTGGAGCATTTTTCTGATGAGGAGTGACTGCAGGAGCTGAGCTGGGTTAGTCCTGAGAAGACTGACAGGGGATCCCATCAATCCACACAAAATCTCCAGAAGATGGGGCCTGACCCTGCTCAGTGATGCTCAGTGACAGGACAAGGAGCAATGGCCATGAACTAAACCACGCCAAGTTCCATCCAACCCGGGATCCTCCCGGGGTTGTGGAGCTGGGGGCAGTGTCCAGCAGCTCAGGGGTTAATGCCAGCAGGGCTGCTGGAGGGCATGGCGGGGGGAACTGGCAGGGCAGCTGTCCCTGTGCTGCAGCAGGGGTGGATGCCCTGGGGCAGTGTCACCCGGAGCTCACCTTGTCCTCTCTTTGGCAGCACAATCGGTTTGTCCTGGACTGCAAGGACAAGGAGCCCGACGTGCTCTTCGTGGGGGACTCCATGGTGCAGTTGCTACAGCAGTACGAGGTAGGGAGGGGAGGGAGGCTGGGAGCAATTGGAGCATCTCTCTCCAACCCAGTGGCTGATCATGTGTACCACTGATGACTTCCACTGTTCCCGTTTTCACTGCTGTCTCCTGAGGCCCTCCTGCCCTGCTTCCTGAACTCCCCAGGGCCTGGACACTGCTTTACCTGGCTGCTTTTGCCTCCCTCTCTGAGGCCAGGACCGGCTGCCTGCATTTTGGCACACATGCACAGCCCCGCTGCTCTCAGATCTCAGCCTCCTGAGGGCCATGGAGTTCCCTGTGGCTGTACCTGGCATGGCCAGAACACACTTAGCACCCTGTAGAATTCAGGGTGCCAGGGGCATTGTTCCACTGGTTCCTCCCTAAAATTATTGAGGGAAAGAACAGTTCTCTTCTGCTGTGGTGGCAGCTGAGCAGCTTTGTTCTGTAAGAGCTGCTTCCCTTTGTTCTAGTTTTGTTACCTGGGGAAGAGAAGGATTTAATCAGGTCATAGACTCCTTCTTCAAAGGCCCTGTGCTTAGGGACACCATGGTCTGCAGTAAATCAGCGCTCTGGGGCTCTGATGAGTGCAGCAAATCACTGCTCCAGAGATCTTTCCTTCCTTTGTGCCAGGTCTGAGAGCTTGAACCTCAGCTGCTCCATCTCTTCTGACTCCACATAAAGCCTCGTTCTTGTCTAAGTGCCCTTTGTGGAGAGAGTTTTCAGAGCAGGGCTCGTGCCTGCCCTCAGTGACCTCGAGGACCCCGTGTGGTGTCTCTGCCTCACAGGCAGGATGCTGCTCTGAAGCTGCATGTTGGTTTCTGCTTGCAGATCTGGCGAGAGCTCTTCTCACCGCTCCATGCACTGAATTTTGGGATTGGTGGAGACACCACGGGCCATGTTCTATGGAGACTGAAGAACGGTGAACTGGAGAACATTAAACCCAAGGTATGAGCTGCAGAGCTCGTGAGGGTACCCAGGTGTGCAGTGAAGGTCCCCTGCAGCTGCAGGCCTGGCACAAGTGCCACCCCTGAGGGCAGTGGGCAGTGCCAGCCCCAGGGCTGAACTCTTGAGCCTGACTCTCCCTGCAGCTCTCTGCCACAGATGATGTTTATGCAGGGATTTCAGCGTCATCAGCCCTGTTACCACTTGCCTCTGGAAAAGCTGCAAACGTTTTTCTTTCCTTGCAGGTCATTGTTGTTTGGGTTGGAACAAATAACCACGAAAACACAGCAGAAGAAGTCGCAGGGGGAATTGAGGCCATCGTGCGCCTGATAAACACCCAGCAGCCACAGGCCAAAGTGATTGTGCTGGTACGTCCCTGCTCCTGGGCTGTGCCTCTGCCTTACTGGGAGTCACTGGGTGGTGCTGGGAGGGCAGTCCCCTGATCTGCCTTCTGCTTTGTGCCTCCCCTCACTGCCTTGGCATTGCAGGAGCCCTCCTTTGGCCATTCCAGAGCTGGGTGGACTCATTCCCAGTAACTATCCCCCTTATTAATGTTAATGGTTCCCCTGTGAAGAGGAAAATAGGTGCCCAAATCCCAGTTGGCATTGGGAATCCTAGTTGGCTTCCTTGTCCTAAGGAAGTTGCCGCCTGTCTTGCTGAGGAGCTGAAAGTGTATGGAAAGAGCACAAGCTGATACATTTAAAAAATAAAAGAAAGCAGTTTCCCTGCCAGTCAGTGCTTGGAGCTCATCTGGCTCCTTCACTTGCATTTCACATTAGGCCTGAATGGACAAATTCCGATTGAAGGGATGATTTCCTCTTGTCACAGACATCCTAAGTCTTGACAGGCAGCCCGAATTGGAAGGGAAAGCAGGGCTCCTGGTGCCATCAGAGCATCAAAGCTCTTTTCTGCCTCCTCCCGTGCCAGGGCCTGCTACCTCGTGGAGAGAAGCCAAACCCGCTGCGGCAGAAGAACGCCAAGGTGAACCATCTGCTGAAAGCCTCTCTGCCCAAACTGCCCAACGTGCAGCTGCTGGACGTGGACGTGGGCTTCGTGCACTCGGATGGCACCATCTCCTACCACGACATGTTCGACTTCCTGCACCTGACGGGCGGGGGCTACGCCAAGGTCTGCAAGCCCCTCCACGAACTGATCATGCAGCTGCTGGAGGAGACCCCCGAGGAGAAACGAGCTGCCCTGGCCTGAGTCGCTGCTGTCAGCGTGGAGAGCATCATCCAGCCCATCAGATCAGTTCTGTCACTGGCACTACAGAATCCTTCTTTCTTAAAGCACTTTCCATTGTAGAATGTTACCGGATGTCCGTACCTAGTGTTTTGAGGGGGAAGGCTCATGTTTAACTGGTCTTGTACATACGAGGGCCGGCTGGGTTGGTTTTATTGCAGGAGGAAATTAGCTGAAGAAGAGTTTTACTTTTAAACCATTCCTCATTTGAAACGAGAACAGGACTGTCACTCTGTGCCCCTCTCATGTCTTGTTGCCCCGTGGTTGTCCTAGACCCCCTGTAGCCTGTCCGACAGCCCGCTCCTGGCTGCAGCCATCGTGCTCTGTGTATTTGCCTGGGAACAAGAATCACATTCCACTTGCAAAAGCCAGAACAGATGCATTTTTCCAAACTCGGTTCCACCTTTTAGGCGGTTTTGGGTTTATTTTGTTTGTTTGTTGTTTGTTTGTTTACTGAGGGGGGGTTAAATGACACGTGTTGCTTTCTCACTCCTTTCTGAAGCAGCTTGAAACTGGAATTCAGAAATTCAAAGAAGCAAACAGTTACCTGAACTCGTGTAACACTCCCCAGTGCTTGTCTTGTGCTCGTTTCCCCAGTCCTGCTAGCGGGGGCACCTTCCCTTCCTCCCACGCAGCCCTCCTGGGAATGCTCCCATTTGGGTGCTGCTGCTGGCCCCTGCTCCTGCTGCCTGTGATGTTGCTGGCTTTTAGCAGTTGCTCAGTGTAGGATTTTAATGATCCAGTAATTGGCAGTCACTTCCTCACTCCTCTGGAACTGACAGACATCCCTCTGAGGTGCCCGGGCTCTTCGCAGTTTTTTTTCTATTTTTTTATTAAGTATGACTGTTACATCCTTTTTTTTCTAAAGCAAACCCACATGAAGAGCCCCTGGCTGCAAGGCCTAAATCACTCTGAAGCTTTACAGATCCCAAGGTGTATATTTCCTTATCACTACTGGTTTACTTGTATAAACATTTTATTTGAGCAACTACGGCCTCTTAGAGTAAAAAGTGGAGTTAATGTGTAGCTTCTCCTGCTCTAGACACTGCTCCTCACCTCGAGCAAGGGAGCCAGAGGGGCAGGTGCCCTCCTAAAGGGCTGTGGCTCCGTGCGGTTTTGGTTTGGTTTGTAGTTCAGAGGGCTGGTTGTAGCAAAACAACTTTTCATTTCAAACTCAGAGCTTCTCTTCCAGCTCAGTTTGGAGCCGAGAGGCAGAGCCCTAGATGAATTGATAACTTGCAAATAACCTATCTTAAACCAAGTCTGTTCCTCCCTGCCTTACCTGCTGGAGCTGGAGCTCAGTTGGTGCCACGCTGGGTTTGTGCTTCCTGTGGGTTGCCAGGCAGGTAATCCTGGGAGGAACAGAGAGCTTCACTCTGTGCTCCAAGGGAGGGGTTCAGGTGTCAGGTGGCTTTGCTGAAGCCCATAGGTACTGTACATAGTCTGTCTGCCCTTTGCTGTAGCCAAGGGCTGGTGTGTAACTCTGACCTAGCGTTGAGGAATCCCCTAACGTCCCACCTCATCCCCCTCCTCCTGTAGGATTGATCATAGCAGGATTCCTGCCTGGATTGCATGCATAGTGTGTGTTTTGTTTCCAGTATATGTGATCTACACACAGATGAAGGAAAGGTGAAGCATTCCCCTGGCCAGGATCAGACACAGGGAGCTGCAGAGTGCCATGGGAGAGGAGGGATCACATCCTACCCCCATGATCCAGACCAGGGGTGCTGCTCCCTGGAGCTCCACGGCCTTGCAGGGCAGGCTTTGAGAGAGCACTGCTCGTGCTTCCCATGAGCTTTGGCTGGAAATATTGGGGAAGGGCAAGTGGAAAATCAAATGTTAAAAGTACAGTGCAGTGGAGAGTTCTTGGGGAAGGGTTTATCCCATCCCCAGCCCCCTCAGGGAGCTGGGATAAAACCCTTCTTGCTCCCTGAGAGCTTTCCATCTCCAGGCTTGTGAGAAAAGGCCGTGGGCTAGTTTAATCTCTGCACCCCTGCTCCCTTCCCTCCCTGCTGCTGCTGCATTTGGCTGAAGCGATGCTAACCAGGAATGTACTCTGCAGTAAAGCTCTGACTGCTCAGCACCCTGTGCTCGCTGTGAGCCAGCCCCGTGGGCAGGGTGCCGAGTGGCCCGGGGAATTTGGCAGGCTCTGGCATCACCAGGGAGGCTCTGCTGGCTCTGCTTAGGCTTGGCTTGCTGAGGTGCCATGCTCTGTGCTGGTTCAGTGCTCTCGGCTCTGCTTGTTGCTGCCTGGCAGGAAACTGCCCTGCTCACCTGAGAGGTGTGGTGGGCAAGAGGGGCTCTGCCTCCTGCTCACCCCGTGCTGAAATCCGAGTGCCTCCTGTGAGAAAAATCCAGTTCCAGCTCTGGATGTCCCTCGGGACAGGGCTGGGCTGGAGCTGTGGCCTCTTCTGAGTGAGCGTGTCCAGTTTTGTGTTTATGCAGCAGAGAGGAAAACAAACAAAAGATGTGAAATGACAGAGTCTTGTGAGGTGCCGGGGAGGGTGAGGCAGGAGCAGGGAGGCCCCCATACCTCCCCTTGCTGCCCACCCGCTGCCCTGAGCCTTCCCCGGGACACAACCTTTGTGATTCTGCTTTGGCAAAAATGCATCGGCTGGTAGAAGTCACTGTTAGTGCATATTTCAATATAAATGTCAATGTTTCACCCACTGTGTCGCAGCCTGTGTGTGTGTGTGTGTGCCCAGCCGTCTCCTGCCCTGTCCTGGTCACTCCTGGAGCTCTCCATGGGGCCGGGCAGGCGCTGCCAAAGCTCCCACTGCGGGTCCTCCCCGCCTCTGGGAGTTGTGCTCTGCCAGATCCTTGCTCCTCGTTTAATTCCTGCTTTCCCCACTCCGTTTGGGGCTGGTTTTGTCTGTTTTTCCTCCTTTCCCCGTGCAGATCTGGGTGCTGCACCCAAACCTGTGAGCACGGTGCTGCAGGTGAAGGGGACTGGTTTATTTTGGCCCTCGACAGGACATCGGCCTGTGTTGGATTCCCGGGAGATCGATCTCAAATGGCCCTGGAACAAACAGGGACTGCACATCCCCACGCAATCCCACTCACAGCCATCCTGCAAGAGGCGACTCGAGTTCCGCCAGGGCCGAGGAGTCGGGCGGAATTCTGCTTCTCTTCCCGCATGTCTGTCCCTGAGGTTGTCCCATCTGCCTCCAGCGCCACCACCTGCACCTGGAAACCATGGGCAGACTGTCCAAGCTGTGGGATCCTCAGGGACAGGAGGGCCCGGAGAAATAAAGTGCACAATAGCAGCAGAGCCTTGTCTCGTGGCGTTTGTCCCCTGGAGCAGAGCAGGAAGCTGGCAGCGGTCCTGGATGTCAGAGCCAGCCCAGGAAGTGGCTCTGAGTGAGGTGACACGGGGCTGAGCTCCTTCAGAGGGGGATTTTAAATCAAAACCCCCAGCTGCAGGCAAATAAAATGGGATAGAAAGGTCACAGAGCTGTTGGAGAGAGGCCTGGAAGCAGGAGGCTCAGCAACAGCTGGAACTGGGAGGTGTTTTGGGAGACACACCAAAAATGCACTGTGGCATTACTCCTGCTTCCCCCAAGCATGGGAAAACTCCCAAGTTACTTTGAATTATTCCATCTCTGGTGGTGAAGGGTGCAACAAACGGGAAAGGGTGCAGGAACCCCAGTAGGAATCCAGAGAGCAGCAGGAGAAAGGGATGGGGCAGAGCCACCCCTCCTCTGGCAGGATTCTTCCATGTCCTCCGGGACTTTAGGGGCAGGGAGGCCGGGCAAGGGGTTTAGGTGGGTGCCTGCAGTGCTGCACGGCACCGGGCTTCCCTCTTGGGCTAGGGGCTCCATATGGGGTCTCCTATGGAGCAGGGGCTATACAGGACAGGCTGCCCTACAGCGTTCTGTATGGGGTAGGATCTGCCCTACAGACCAGGGCTTTTTCTGTGGGGTTCCACAGGGAACTGGGCTTCCTGTACAGGATCCCATATGGAGCAGGGACTCCCCTTTGGGGTATTTTATGGGACAGGGCCTGCCCCGTAGGACAGGGCATCCCTTGTGTAGTTCCCTATGGAGCCGGGCTTCCCCCGCGGGGTCACGTACGGAGCTCAGTGCTCCAGGACGGGGGTGCCCGGCCGGGCTGGTGCCCCCAGCTCGGGCCGTTCCCCCTGGGCTCGGGTCGCTCCCCGTGCTCGGGCCGTTCCCCGTGCTCGGGCCGGTTCCCCGTGCTCGGGCCGGTCCCCCGGGCTCGGGTCGGTCCCTGGGGCTCGGGCCGGTCTCTCGAGCTCGGGCCGGTCCCCCGGGCTCGGGCCGGTCCCTCGAGCTCGGGCCGGTTCCCCCGGCTCGGGTCGGTTCCCCCGGTTCGGGCCGGTCCCCCCGGGCTCGGGCCGGTCCCCCCGGGCTCGGGCCGGTTCCCCCGGTCCGGGCCGGTCCCCAAGGCTCGGGTCGTTCCCCCAGCTCGGGCCGTTCCCCCGGTTCGGGCCGGTCCCCCCGCCCCGCCCGCCGCGTCACTTCCCCGGCCGGGCGCTCGGCGTGCGCCGGGGCTGACGTCACCGCCGGTCCGTGTTTACCGCGGTGCGGAACGGGAAGGGGACAGGGGACCGGCACCGGGATCGGCCCGGAGCGGCTCCGCGCCCCGGCACAGCCCCGCACCGCGCCCGGCACCGCTCCGGCCCGGCCATGGCGCAGCGCGCCCGGGCGCGCCCCGGCTGAGCGCCCCGTCCGTCCGTCCGTCCGTCCCGTCCCGTCCCGACCCGTCCCTTCCGTGCCGTCCGTGCCGTCCCGCCCCGCGGACCTTGGCCGGGGATGCTGGCGGGATGTCGGGCGCCGGGGCGGCCGTGCTGGCCTGGGCGCTGCTGGCCGGGGCGCTGCTGCCCCCGCCGCCCGTCCGGCCCCAGCCCCTGCCCCACGGGGACCGCGAAGTGCACGAGAAGGAAGCGCAGTTCAACACCACCTACAGCGACTGGGTGCACGCCAACCTGCTCAACATCTACGCCTTCAACCACAGCGTCCGCAGGAACAGGGTGAGCCGGGGTGGTCGCGTCCCCCGCGGGCTGACCGTGCCCGGGGCGGCTGCGGGGTGCGCCGGGCACGGCAGCCTCTGCCACGGCGGCCGAGCAAAGTCCAGCCCTCGCTTCGAGCCGCCGCGGCCCGACCTGCCCGGCCAACGCCTCAACTGCCCCTGTCCCTGCAGACCGAGGGCGTGCGGGTGTCGGTCCATGTCCTCTCGGACCAGAAGGACCAGCCCGTCCTCTTCGTGGTGAGGCAGAAGGAGGCGGTGGTCTCCTTCCAGGTGCCGCTCATCCTCCGGGGCCTGTGAGTACCAGGGGGCGGGCAGGGACTCCTCCTTTCCCCGCAGGACTTCCCCAGGCTGGGATGCCCCACGCAGGAGTTCCCCAGGCTGGGATGCCCCACGCAGGAGCTCCCCAGGCTGGGATGCCCCACGCAGGGGTCCCTGGGAGGGCAGGCTGGGCACACACCTGAGCTCTCCCTGCCCAGGTACCAGCGGAAATACGCGTACCAGGAGGTGAGCCGCACGCTCTGCCAGCCACAGACCAAGGCTGAGGTGGAGACCCAGCACTTCTACGTGGATGTCTCCACGCTCTCCCTCAACACCTCCTACCAGCTGCGGGTCACCCGCGTGGAGAACTTTGTGCTGCGGTGAGGGGAGCCCTGCGCCCTGGTCCCCTTCCCTGCCTGCTGCCTGTAGGGGCTGCAGGGACTGTGGGCTCTCCTCTCCACCCATCACCTCTCCCGTGCTCTCTGCAGGACCAATGAAAGGTTCAGCTTCAATGCCACGGCCGCCCAGCCGCAGGTGAGGCAGCCAGCACGGCGTGGCACAGGGGGTCTGCACCCAGGAGGGGAGCGTGGCCACCATGGCAGCAATGGGCCCTTTCTCCCCACAGTACTTCAAGTACGAGTTCCCCGAGGAAGTGGACTCGGTGATCGTGAAGGTGACCTCAGCCATGGCCTTCCCCTGCTCCGTCATCTCCATCCAGGACATCTTGGTAGGTCTGGGCAGTGGGTCTCCTCTCTGGCTGACCTGGGGTGCCCAGGGGGGCTGACGGCCCCTCTGCCCCCGCAGTGCCCTGTCTACGACCTGGACAACAACGTGGCCTTCATCGGGATGTACCAGACCATGACGAAGAAGGCGGCCATCACGGTGCAGGTGGGCACAGGGCTATGCCACAGGGCTGAGCTGTGCCTGGGCCCTGCCTGGTGCTGCCAGAGCCCACAAAGGACGTCCCTGGGATAACCTCTGGCATGGGAGATCCCCTGCTGGGCTCTGCTGACCCCATCTCTTGCTGCAGAAGAAGGATTTCCCCAGCCATAGCTTCTACGTGGTGGTGGTGGTGAAGACGGAGGACGAGGCGTGCGGGGGGGCTCTGCCCTACTACCCCCTGTCCAAGAACGCCTCTCCAGGTTTGCAGTGGGGCTGCCACCGTGGGCTGTGTGTGGGGACAAGCTGGGGACAGGGCAGAGAGCTGAGCCCTGTCCCTGCCTTCTTCCAGATGAGCCCGTGGATCAGCACAACCGGCAGAAGAGACTGGAGGTGATGGTGTCACCTGCTATCACCTGTGAGTCTGGGAGGGGCTGGGGGGGCTGGGGGTGCTCTGTGGGGACCCATGGCAGGGCCCCTGAGGTGCCACCCCTGCTGAGGGCCTGTCCTGGCTCTGCACAGCCGAGGCCTACGTGCGCAGTGTGCTCTTCTGCCTCGGCATCTTCCTCTCCTTCTACATCCTCACGCTGCTCATCGCCTGCTGGGAGAGCTGCCGGTGAGTGCTGGGTGTCACTGCCCTCGTGGGTGCTGAGCCCGTGGGCACAGCCCTGCTGGGGACCCTGGGGCCGTGTCCCCTCACCCCAGCAGTGTCACAGACGGGCTGAGAGCCACTTCCCTCGGCAGGCAGCACAAGAGGAAGGGGCTCCTGGCAGCCATGGATTCGCCCAGCCTGGACACAGGTGAGGGCTGGAGGCAGCAGCCAGCAGCATGGAGGGCTCTGCCTGGGGAATTCCTCATTGTTCTGCCCTCTTGAGCCTGTGGCAAAGCCTCTGCCTCTGCAGGAGTATCCCCCTGAGTCCCTGGGGGTAAATCCCAGTGTCAGGGGGACAGGGAGGTCCCTGCTGTGGGGCTGGCAGGGCTGTGCTGGGGCTGTGCATCTCACCAGGTCTATCTCTTTCTTCTCGTGGCTTTCCGGGGACTCCCAGCATCACTCCTGGGTAGGTGCCAGCTCTGTCCCAGCTCTGAGCTCACTCCGTGCCAGGGCAGGGGTGGTGGGAGCTGCTGTGTGCCCAATGGCCTTGCAGCCCTGGGTGAGGGGTGCCACAGAGGGTGACAGGGACCCTCCTGTCCCACAGGTCACTCCCGCACCATCCCCGACTCCTTCCTGAACCACGGCCCCTACGACAGCTACGGTTACGGCTCCTTCGGTGAGTGCCACACACTGTCCCCTGTCCCTCAGCCCTGCCCATGGGCTGTGCCCAGCCTCTGCCTGTCCTTTGTCCTTGTCCTTGCAGGGAACGGCTCCTCCAGCAGCACCGAGGGCATCACAGACAGCCTGGGCTCAGCAGAAGTCTCCTACAGTTACGTGGGTGAGTTGTGTGGCCGCAGCCCTGCAGAGCCTCGTGCCCGCTGGCATCCTGGCTCTGTCCCCTCCATCTCTGGGAAGGGTCCTGAGGCTGCTGGCCCCTCGGTGCAGCCCCCAGCGGGGTTTCCATGTGTGACACACCTCAGGGAGCTCTGCTTCAGTAACTCTGGCTTTCCTTTGAAGGGCAGGAGCAGTTCAAGCGGCGCACGCCCTCCGCCCCGACGAGGCCACTGAGCATTCCCATGGGTAGATGCTGGTACTGGGCAGGGTCGGGCCAATGAAGGCGAAATCTGCCCAGCCCCAGGCTGTGCCCAGGGCACAGAACCCCCGCTCCCCTCCCTCAGAGCAAGGACAGCACCTGTGGGGCTGCAGAGCCCCTGGCCCTCGGTGTTCCCCAGCGTGGCAGAGCCCCGGGGAACAGATATGGGGCAATGCTTGCCCATGTGGGCACAGCCACCAGCTGTCCCCAGGGCAGGGCTGTAGGGAGCTGAAACCTGTCCCCAGTGTGAGTTGGCAGGGAGGCAGCCCAGTGGTTAATTGGGTCTGATTGGGGTTCTGAGGGGTGGGCACCAAGGCGGGCTGGCCCTGGGGCCCTGCTGATGGCCCTGGGGCTCTGCTGATGGACCCGGGGCCCTGCTGATGGCCCTGGGGCCCTGCTGATGGCCCTGGGGCCCTGCTGATGGCCCCGGCCCGGCCGCAGGGGAGCGGTCACTGGAGAACGTGGCCAGTCGGCCGCGCCTGGACTCGCTCAGCTCCGTGGAGGAGGACGACTACGACACGCTGGCCGACATCGACTATGACAAGAACGTCATCCGCACCAAGGTGCGTGTCCCCCCCAGCCCCAGCGTGCCCCTGCTGGCCAGGCAGGCCCCTGACCCCCCTCTCCTTCCAGCAATACCTGTGCGTGGCCGACCTGGCGCGCAAGGACAAGCGGGTGCTGCGGAAGAAGTACCAGATTTATTTCTGGTGAGTGGGAGGCAGTGGGGAGGGGGGCACCCAGCAGTGTCCCAGCCTGGGGTGCACAGCAGGGCCCCCCTGACAGCCCCACCCTCTCCCAGGAACATCGCCACCATCGCTGTCTTCTACGCCCTGCCCGTCATCCAGCTCGTCATCACCTACCAGACGGTGAGTGTGCCCAGGGCAGCGGTGAGGGGCTCCTCTCTGGGATCTCTGGGGGCTGCAGTCCCAAACTGAGCTCCCCAGCATGGTGGGGACGTCCCTGGGAGCCCCCTGTGTCCCTCACCCTGCTCGTGCCCACAGGTGGTGAATGTCACTGGCAACCAGGACATCTGCTACTACAACTTCCTGTGCGCCCACCCGCTGGGGAACCTCAGGTGGGCTGGGGGCTGGTGGAGGGTGCTGGGGGTCCCCTGTGCCCAGGGCTGGGCTGCAGCAGGACCCCAGGGAGGGAGGGGGTTCACAGCACCCACGCTGGGACCGGCTCCTCGCAGCGCCTTCAACAACATCCTCAGCAACCTGGGCTACGTGCTGCTGGGTCTGCTCTTCCTGCTGATCATCCTGCAGCGCGAGATCAACTACAACCGCGCGCTGCTGCGCAACGACACCCACGCCCTGGTGAGGGACGGGGCTGCCTGGGGGGCTCCAGCTGCCTGGGGGGGCTCAGCCTCCCGGGACCCTCCACTTCCCCTCCCTGCCTCTCCTCTGCCCCGCAGGAGTGCGGCATCCCCAAGCACTTCGGGCTCTTCTACGCCATGGGCACCGCGCTCATGATGGAGGGGCTGCTCAGCGCCTGCTACCACGTCTGCCCCAACTACACCAACTTCCAGTTCGGTGAGTGCCCCCCCGGTCCCCTCTACCCACAGCAGGGCCACCCACACCCCTCTCACCACTGTGCCCCCCTAGACACCTCCTTCATGTACATGATTGCGGGGCTCTGCATGCTGAAGCTCTACCAGAAGCGTCACCCGGACATCAACGCCAGCGCCTACAGCGCCTACGCCTGCCTGGCCCTCGTCATCTTCTTCTCCGTGGTGGGCGTGGTGAGTGTGGTGGGCGCTGAGGGAGGGGGGCTGGCTGCCCCCAGGGCTCACTGCCCGCCCCCCCGCTCGCCCTGCAGGTCTTTGGGAAGGGGAACACGGCCTTCTGGATCGTCTTCTCCGTCATCCACATCGTGGCCACGCTGCTGCTGAGCACCCAGCTGTACTACATGGGGCGCTGGAAGCTGGGTGAGGAGGGGCACCGGGAGCGAGGTGGGAGGGGACAGTGTGCTGGCCCCCCTGTGTCACCTCCCCTGTCCCCACAGACTCGGGCATCCTGCGCAGGATCCTGCACGTGCTGTACACGGACTGCGTGCGGCAGTGCAGCGGGCCCATGTACGTGGTGAGTGCTGGCACGGGGCCCCCGGCTCTGCAGAGACCGTCCCTGGCAGCCCCCCCAGAGCAGCTTCCCCCAGCCCCTCATAGCCCCCTCCTCTTCTGCAGGACCGAATGGTGCTCCTGGTCATGGGGAACATCATCAACTGGTCACTGTGAGTGCAGAGCTGGGCACATGGCAGATCCCACCCTGCTTCTCCCCATCCCTGCTGCCCCCACCTCTCTCCTGTGGCACTGCCATCCCTCCATGGAGCTGGGCTGGGGACTGGCAGCTCATGGCAGCTGTGAGCCCAGCATGACAGGTCCCCCTGCAGCTGTGGCAGCCCGGAGTCCCCACGTGCTGCCTGATCTCCTGGGGGCTGCAGACATGCTTTGGGGACAGTGGGCATGGCAGGGGGACCCCCAGGCTGACCCCATTGCCTGTCCCTGCCTTCCCAGCGCTGCCTACGGCCTCATTGTCCGCCCCAATGATTTTGCTTCCTACCTGCTGGCCATCGGCATCTGCAACCTCCTCCTCTACTTCGCCTTCTACATTATCATGAAGGTGGGAGTTGAGCCCTGGGCCCCATGGGCAGGGCAGGGCAGGGGTGGGCACTGCTGCCAGCTCCTGCCCACACGGTGACCCCGGCCTCTCCCGCAGCTCCGCAGTGGTGAGCGCATCAAGCTCATCCCCCTGCTCTGCATCATCAGCACCTCCGTGGTCTGGGGCTTCGCCCTCTTCTTCTTCTTCCAGGGGCTCAGCACCTGGCAGGTGAGCAGGAGGGTGGCACGGGCGGCAGGGTGGGCAGGGTGGCCATGGGCAGGAGCAGTGACACTGGCCCTGTGCCCGGCAGAAAACACCAGCTGAATCCCGGGAGCACAACCGTGACTGCATCCTGCTCGACTTCTTTGACGACCATGACATCTGGCATTTCCTCTCCTCCATCGCCATGTTCGGCTCCTTCCTGGTAGGTGCTGGTTCCACCGGCACGGCAGCCGCTGTCCCCAGGTCACCAGTGCCCCGCTCCCCTCACTGCCCTCGCCCCACAGGTGCTGCTGACGCTGGACGATGACCTGGACTGTGTCCAGCGGGACAAGATCTACGTCTTCTAGGAGCCTGCAGCCACCCGCTGCCCTGGGACCGTGCCAAACGCCCGGCTGCAGCCCCGGGAGGGGCACCCGCCCCTGGGGAGGGATGTCTGCGCTGCAGGTCCTGCCAGCCACTCTGTCCCCCTCCCCACACAGCCCTGGGGTCCTGGTTTGCCTCCTCCCCGACAGCCGGGTCCCTCCAGGCACTTCGTGCCCATTCCTGGGCCCGTCACAGCCAAAAACGGGGCCGGGGGGCCACCAGAGCATCCGTCCTCTGTGGCAAGTGACACTGGAAAAGTGCTGCTGCTGCTGCTGCTCCGTGTCCGTGTGCCCGTGGGCACGGGGGGGATTGGGGCGAGTGCCGTGCCAGCAGCCCCGTGGCCCCCCGAGCACGTGGGTGTGGGTCTCTCTTCAGTGCCTGAGTCGAGTGGGTGGGAGGGGGGGTGCGTGGGGCCAGCACGGTGGTGGCAGTGGCCGGAGAGGCCCCACTTGTGTCTCCTCCAGGAGTGTCCCAGGAGGGGTGGCCACAGTGGGTCCCCATCACTGCCCACCGAGGTGCCGCGCTCCCCGCGGGGATCTGCTGGGAAGGGACTCGCATTAAAGTGTCTGCACTTTGCCCGTGCCTCTGCTGCCTGCCAGGGGTCCCTTCTCCCCACAGGGTTTTGGGAGGGGGGAGATGCTGCAGGGGCTGGGAAATGCTGCCCTGCAGAGCGCATGTGGGGAGGGTGGGGTTATCCAAGTAGCTAAGGTTAAAAAGCAACTGAGCTGTCACAAGCCCAAGATGCCAATAAGGCCTTCACATCAAAGAAGATCTTAGAACAATGATTAATTGGACTCCACGAAAGCCAGGGCCCAAGCTGGGATTAGATACCCCACTATGCCTGGCCCTAAATCTTGATGCTTACCCCTGCTAAAGGCATCCGCCCGAGAACTACGAGCACCAACGCCTAAAACTCTAAGGACTTGGTGGTGCCCAAACCCACCTAGAGGAGCGTGTTCTGTAATCGATGATCCACTATATACCTGACCATTCCTTGCCAAAACAGCCTCCAAACCACCGTTGCCAGCCCACCTCCCCTGGCCTGTGGGCCACGAGGGGACTGGCAGCCCCACAGGTGGGTAAGGGATGCCCGGGGAGCTGGGGCATCCTCGCAGCGCGGTGCCAGCTCTGCTGCGTGCCCCGCTGTGCCCTGACCCGCTCCAGCTGGTGCCCGCGGGCAGAGGGAATCCCGGCATCTGCGTGCGGGCTGCCCAGGCGCGGTGCCCGCGGGATGCCGCGGCCTCGCCGCCGGTCCCGGCAGCCCCGGGCGGACCCCGTGGGTGTCACCCGTGCCCCCGCAGCGTTCCCGCGGGGGGGACCCTGCGCGGCCGGTGGTGAGCACACGGGAAAACCAGCCATGAAGTCAGAGCAGGAGCCCTCGGCGCTGCCGCCTGGCTATAAAAGGATTTACTCCATCAGCCCCCGGCCCGGTTCCGCCCTGGCCCCGGCCGCGCTGGGGCGGAGGCACGCGGGGAATGCTCCAGCGCGGGCTTTCGTCGCTGGTTTTTCGGAGTCTTTCCCCAAATATGGTGCCTGGGATGGAGTCACGGAGCGCTGCGGGGCCGGGCGCCCCGGGAGGGAGGGTTTGGGGGGGGCCGGGCTCCGCGCCCCGCTGACATCACCGTCCCGCCGCCCGCCTTTTAGCACAAGGTCGGGGTCCCCGCGGGGCAGTGCGCTGGTCCCTCGCCGAGCATCGCCCTCGCTCCGTCCGCAGCCGCTTGTAAGTCCTGCCGCGGGGGAGGGGGGCGGCGGGGAGGGTCCCCGGGGTGGGAACGCCAGCCCCCGGCACGGGGGTGCTGCTCCCGGGATGGGGACCCTCTACCTGGGACAGGCACCGCTCCCGGGACTGCGATTTGCGGCTCCCTGGATGCCGCGGATTCCGCTCCTCCGGGATGGGGATGCGGCTCCCCGGGATGGGGATGCGGCTCTCCGGGATGGGGATGAGGCTCCCCGGAGGAGGGTCGGGCTCCCCCGCTCGGGCTGGGGTCACTGCCGAGGTTCTGTCCTGCTGCTCCCCTCAGGACCGCGTTCCCGTCAGGGCTGGCAGCCGCGGGTCCCCGCGGTGGGGCCGTGCGGGGCTCAGGGCAGCGATGGAGGGGCAGCTGCAGCCCCCAGTGCCCGTTTCTGCCCTGTGCTCGGAGATGGGGACGGGGCTGGCGCACCCGGGGACAGGCAGCGCCGTGTGGCCGAGGGAGCCGTGGGTGACCCCTCGGAGCCAGGTGGGGCCAGGGCACGGAGTGGGATTGCTGGGGCATCTGTAGCATCACGGGATGTGCCCATGATGGGGTCTGGGCACGCACTGCCCATAGAGCTCGTGGGGTATCACCACATTAATCACGGGGCTCGGGGAGCACCCCTGCAGTGCTGGCAGCAAGCAGGGTCGTGTCCTCTCCTGCACTGAGCTGTGCCAGCTCTCAGCCCAGCCCGCCGGAGCCGGGGTGCCCCGTGGTCAGGAGGAGCCCACTGGAGGCCGGTGTGGATCTGGGACATCCACACTGCTCATGGAGGCACCGTGTGGATCTGGGACATCCACACTGCTCCTGGAGGCACCCGGAGGCTCCCAGCCAAGCAAGGAGCTGGGCAGGAGGGAGCGATGCCAGCTCCACCAAAGGCTTGGCTGCCACTCCCAGAGCCTCTCCCTGCTGGCATCTTCCCTGGCATCCTCCCTGGCACCCTCGGGGCCTGCCTGCAGCCGGCTACCTGCCATCACTGCCCGCAGCATGTCCTTACAAGGGCACGGGCACGGCTCCCGCTGCTCCCGCCTCACCCGTGCTCCTCCCCAGCTCCTGGACCTGCCGTGCCAAGGCCATCCCACGGCCACCCTGCTGTGCCACGGCCACCCTGCTGTGCCAAGGCCATCCCACGGCCACCCTGCTGTGCCAAGGCCATCCCATGGCCACCCTGCTGTGCCACGGCCACCCTGCCGTGCCAAGGCCATCCCTGCTGTGCCATGGCCATCCCATGGCCACCCTGCTGTGCCATGGCCACCCTACTGTGCCACAGCCAGCCAGCCTTGATGTGGTCACCCTGCCCTCTGGATCCTGGCATGGGTCACAGCAGGGACATCCATGCCAACCAAGGGCTGGCAAGGGACAGGGATGAGGATGCTCCTGTGCACAGTCTGAGCTGGGGATGAGGCATCTCTGCCAGGACACCAACCGTCTGTCTGGGCAGATTTTGATGGTGGTGAATTTTCCTCCAAACACACCTGGATGGAGCTGAAGGGCGAGGGAAGAGTTGGAAGGGCTTGTCCCACTGCAGCAGGCAGATGACACCATGGTGTCTGCAGGGTCCCTGGAGAGGAAACAGCTTGACTGTCTCTGTCGTGCCACCAGGTCTCCCAGCACCGCAGCCATGGCAAACAAAGGGCCAGCCTATGGCATGAGCAGGGACGTGCAGTCCAAGATCGAGAAGAAGTACGATGACGAGCTGGAGGACCGGCTGGTGGAGTGGATCGTGGCGCAGTGCGGGGCTGCCGTGGGGCGCCCCGAGCGGGGCCGCCTGGGCTTCCAGGTCTGGCTGAAGAACGGCATTGTAAGTGGGGCTGGGGCTGGGCAGCCGTGGGGAGCTCTGAGGGCAGCATGGGGGGCTCCATGGGCAGCACAGGGGGCTCCGAGGGCAGCACGGGGAGCTCTGAGGGCAGCACGGGGAGCTCTGAGGGCAGCACAGGGAGTTCTGAGGGCAGTGCAGCAAGCCCAGGCTCCCCTCTGTGGCAGGTGCTCAGCAGGCTGGTGAACAGCCTCTACCCCGACGGCTCCAAGCCCGTCAAGATCCCCGACGCGCCGCCCACCATGGTCTTCAAGCAGATGGAACAGATTGCCCAGTTCCTGAAGGCGGCCGAGGACTACGGCGTGGTCAAGACAGACATCTTCCAGACCGTGGACCTGTTTGAAGGTGCGGGAGGGGGCAGGCGGGGCTGGGGGTCCCAGGGGGTCCCTCTGTGCTGTGCCCGTCCTCATGCCCCTCTCTCCCTGGGCAGCCAAGGACATGGCAGCGGTGCAGAGGACGCTGATGGCCCTGGGCAGCCTGGCAGTCACCAAGAACGACGGGAACTACCACGGGGACCCCAACTGGTTCATGAAGTAAGTGCGGGAGTGCAGAGCTGGGCATGGGGACTGCCTTGTCCCGTGGCTGCTCAGAGCCGGCTCTGCTGTGCCTGGAAGCGCGTGGAGCTGGGATGCCCGACCTTCAGCTGGGGAGGGAGGGAGGGTGGCTGGGACATTCCTGGCGATCGGGGGGTGCTCCCGAGCAGCCGGGGGTGCGGGCGCCCCACGGCCTCCCCCTGTGCCCCGCAGGAAAGCTCAGGAGCACAAGCGGGAGTTCACCGAGAGCCAGCTGAAGGAGGGCAAGAACATCATCGGGCTACAGATGGGCACCAACAAGGGAGCGTCACAGGCGGGCATGAGCTACGGCCGGCCCCGGCAGATCATCAGCTAGGCACTGCCGCGCCGCCCCCAGCCCTCCCCAGCCGGGACCGCCGTCTCCGCTCCCCCGGCCCAGCGCCGCCGCCCATCCATTGGTATTTATTGAGGAGCATCCGCCCGCCAGCCCCATCGCCCCATCGCCAGCGGCCGCACGAGCCCCGCCGCAGCCCCCGGCCCGGGGCCGTGCCCCCAGCGCCGAGCCCCGGGCAGCCCCCGCAGCCCCCGGCCTCGCACCCCCGCCGCCAGCCGGAACCCTCGGGTGGGACCCGGGAGCACCGCCCGCCCTGCCCGCACCAGCCCCGCGCCACCGCCGCAGAGATCCCTGCAACGGGGAGAAGAGAGAATTGGCCTCGGTTTTGTACTTCGTTTTTGTCAAAATTAAAGGGTTATATTCATCGAGCGTGGCCTGGTGAGCTTTCCTGCCACCCCCCTGCTGGTGGCGCCTGGAGAGACCAAGTCCTTCTCCCTAAAAGGGAGCTGCTCCTTCTACCACCTCCAAACCCGGGAAAAGCTTGGATTTTCCCTACCTGGCTTGGAAAACTCTGCCCTCTCCCCGCTGAACCATGACAGCCGCTTTTATCCTGTTCCTGCCAATGCTCTGGCCCAGCCCTTGCCTCCCCCTGCCTGGAGCAGCCCCTTTTCCCCCAGGGCACAGAGGGCTCTCAGCCCCCCCAGATGCAGCACCCCAGCACTGGGTCTGGCCCCGGGACTGGGAGCTGCTCTGTGACACATTTTTCCACAGTGAGGAAGCTCTGGGAGGGCAAAGAGTGATGGAAGGCGGGGGAGAGGAGGGTTTTTCAGGCTTTATTTGGAAAGCTACACAAAAGGGCTTTGCTGATTAAAAAACAAACCCCAGCTTTAAAAAAATAAACCACCGAACCCAAAGCCATGTGAAGAAGCCAACCCTGCTCAGACGAGCCACTGCCAGAGCAACTCAGCCTCCCCTCCCCAGCCCAAGCCAGGCCTACCTGCCAGCAGAGTGCCACAGGGACAGCCCATCCTGCCCCCAGCCAGGCTGGCTCCTGCCTCCCCCAGCCCACAGCTGCTCTGTGCCCGCAGGAGAGGAGGAATCAGCAGCGTTGGAGCACGGGGGCAGGCAGAAGCGCTGGCTGGAGATGAGGGAAATAACTCCCTGCTTCTAAACTGGGATAACTGGTGGGTAGGGGCCGGCTGCCAGCCCAGGGAGATGCCAGTGCTGCGGGGTCCCTGCCTGCAGAGGAGGCTGCTGGGGCCCTGCTGCATTTTCCAGGCTGGCTCTGCAGAAATCAGGGACAAAGGGACACGTCTTGGCCCTGCTGCAGCGCAGGAAGGGGCTGGGTGGGAATGGCACCCCACTCACAACGGCGCCCTGAGCGTCCAGCAGGGCAGGCTCCACCAGGAAAGGGTTTAAGGCTTGCTTTGTTTTCCAGGAGGAGGGAAGGGGATCTCCCTTTCCAGTACCAGCCCTCTCTCCGTGTTTCCAAGCCCCTTCCAGCACCACCTCCCGCAGGACACAGTGGCAATGGTCCGTGGAGGCTCAGCAATGAGTCTGTGCTGCCCGAGCCCAGGCAGGTCGTACCAAGGCAGGGCCCCAGCCCAGCCCCAGTCAGCAGGGCTGGTGCTCCCTGTCCTCCCCGAGGAGTTCAGTCGATGCCTCCCTGCCCAGGAACCCCGTTCCACTGGGGGCTGCCTCGTGGAAGCTCCCAGCTCTGCCATTGCTGGAAAGTTTGGGGTGTGTGGGGCTCCAGGACCCCTTCTGCCCATCCTGGGCAGGCTCCAGGTGCTCACACTCCATCTCAGCCTCGTCCACGTCCTTCTCCCGGTACAGGGGCACCGACTCCATCTCCAGGTCGCTCTCCAGGGCTCGGTGCTTCCTGCCCTGCTGGTACCACCTGCAGCTGCTGGAGCAGGCCAGGTCCAGCCCCACCTCGTTCCTCGTCAGGCAAACCTCCAGCATGTAGTAAAATGTCCAGAACACGGCAAAGCATCCCAGGAGCAGGAGGGTCTGCAGAGGGAAACCCCTTGAAAAACACAGCTCTCAACCCGCTCAGGGCCCTGCCCACTGCCCAGCAGAGAGGGCACAGAGCAGGGTCCTGCTCTTCCAGCTCATCCTGAGGCATGCAGGGCTCTCAGCCTGCAGGCAGGCTCACCTTGAGGGTGTTGGCTGTGATGGTGTAACGCTGCTCCTCGGGGATGTCCAGCCCTGGGGGACAGGGCAGGGAGAAGTCACTGCTCAGGTACTGCCCACTCATGGCTTCCTCCAGCAGCCTGGGGACAGAGACACCCTGTGAGGCTCCCATGGGTAGGAGGGGCTCCAAAACGCCCACAAAGGGTCTGCACTGTCTCCTTCAGCACACAGAGCTGTGTTCTGCAGCCCTGTGAGGTGTGAGGGCAGCCCCGGCCTCACCTGGCAGCAACACGGCTCCCACCCACCCACTGCTCACAGGGAGGCAGGGATGAACCCCCCAGGCCCCCCCCTCTGCTGGGAACGGGGTGTTCTACCCCTGGGGGACGTGGTGCCCTACCTCTGCCGTTCCTTCATCTCTGCTGGCGACCAGGAGGAGCCGTACAGGGTCAGCTGCCACTGCCTCAAGGTGCCAGGCCTCAGGCTGTCGTCGCCTGAGGAGGAAGCGGGCTGGTCCAGTGGGGAACTCTCTGAGCCAACCAGGCCATGAGCTGGCAGCTCCTGGGACGTGGCACAGAGCTGCCACCAGTGCTGAGGGTGGCCCGAGGGCAGCACTCACCGATGTCCCTGATGAGCAGCCTGTAGGTGCCCTGCGCCTCCTCGCCCCAGCAGCGCACCGTGGAGAAGGTCCAGTCAGAGAAGCCATTGGGGTCCCTGCCAAGAGGGGAGGGGAAACAACCCGTGAGGGGTCACAGAGGCAGCGGGCAGGACACGGCCCCAGCCCTGTGCCCTCGGTGCTCACGAGTCCATGCTGCGGGTGGTGCCGATCAGGGACATCATCCCGCTGGGGCACAGCAGCCGGATCTCCAGGTTGCCACGGCGAGGGTGGGTTATGGTGACAGTGACAGCCACGTGCTCCAGGGTCCTCATGCCAGACAGCTGCAGGTCGGCAGGGGTCACTGGGAAAGGGAAGGGGGGCTTGGTCAGGGCTGGTGGGGCTGGGATGGAGTCCCCACTGCCAGGCAGCCCCACCGGGCTGTGGTGCCACTTCACAGGACACACACGTGGTCTCTGCCTCTTCCCCACTGCCCTGTGTGGGGCTGGCAGCAGAACCCAGGTGTCCAGGCTGGCCCAGCCCATCTCCAGCTGTTCCCAGCTCCAGGAATGCTAACGACCCCAGAGCTGCTGACCACAGCCCCTCTGCAGTGGGGAGAGCTGGGAGGGTGCTCCAGCCCCTGCCAGGGGGGACGTGGGCACATGGCAGGACAGGCAGGTCACAGAGGCAGCAGTGTCCCCTGCCTGCAGGCCTGCTGGGGGCCGGGCAGGGCTGGGCTCAGCTCTCCCTGCCCCTGGTAGCCTGGAGCAGCCGCTGCTGCTCGGCACAGCCCGGCCAAGTCGGGAGCTGCAGCATTTCCTAAAATGGTCAAAGGCAGCAGAGCGGCTCTGGCCGCTGCCCAGCCCTGCTCCTGAGCCCGGCTGGCTCCCCAAACACATCAGAGCAGGGATGGGATGTGGGGAGGGGATCCCCTGGGGATGGGCAGCGGAAAAAGCCCAGGCAGCCCAGCATTTAACCCCTTCCTGGACTCCTGCAGCCCAGGGCTGGTCCTGCACGGCCGTGCCACATGGCAGGGCAGGCTCTGCTCTCCATCCATGGCACACCTGCTCTGACTGGGCAGGGTGGTTGTGCTCTCCATCCATGGCACACCTGTTCTTACCATTCCAGGCCACCTCCAGCTCCTGAGGGAGCCAGGGGATGCTCCTGCCCTCCTTCAGCACGGGGCTCACGTACGAGGCCAGGTAGGGCACAGACTCCCAGATCTGCCAGGGGAAGGAGAGAGGGTTCAGCACGGATTGCAGCCTCCCTGCACACCCATCCCTCCAGCTCCCACAGGCTGCTCCTGCGCTGGATGTGGGCCCAGGCCAAGGGGCCTCTCCCGATGGTGCTCTGGGACACCCCAGGGATAGGAGCAGTGCCCACATGCCCAGGAGAGGAGGGAAAGTCACTGCCTGGCAGCCAGGAGGGCTGATCAAGGTTTGGGACTCCCCAGCTCTGCATCTGTCACAGTGGCTCTGAGTGGTGTGCTGGGGCTGTTCCACTCCAGCCCCTGGTACAGGGGACAGGGAACAGCAGCACCCAAGTGCCTGCAGGAAGAGGGAGCAGCCTGGAGGTCCCTGTGACCCCGGGGGCACGGCTGGCAGTGGCAGTGACCTGACACAGCTGCACAGAGCTCCACACACAGCTGGGACCAAGTGCCAAAGGGATGTGCCCTGGGCTCCGTGTGACAGAGGAGGAAGAGATGGGGATGCCCCAGCCTGCTGTGAGCACACCACTCCCCCAGAGCTGCCAGCTGAGCACAGCCTGGTTCTGGGGCAGGACAGACCCTGTGGAGGGAGGAAGGTGCTGGGGCTGCTCCTGGTGCCGTGGATCAGGGCCCTCGCCATGGCTATATATAGTGCTGGAGAGCAGCAGCTCTCAGGCACTGCTGGGAGCCTCGTGAGCTCATACCCAAAGCAGCCTCGGAGGCAGGGCCAGCAGGATGGTGGCCAAAGTGCTGAACGGCAGCGGTGTCACCCCAGGCGTCAGCGGGACAGGAGCTGTCCCTGCCATGGGGCTGCACTGGGCTGGGCTGCTGTGCCTGCCCCCAGGGCAGGTGTGGCAGGGCAGGGCATTACCTTGGCAGCGTTCACCAGCCTCCAGGCGTTGAGCAGGCCGAAGCCATGCTGGTGGCTGTGGCTGAAGCCAGCCTGGTTCGTGTCCCACTTGGCGTGACGGTCCTCATACTGCAGAGACACACAGGGGCTCTGCTCACCTGGGGGCTCAGGCAGCCTGAACCCCCAGGCCTGGAGGGAAGGAGGCCCAGACACATCCCACAGGCGTGGGGAAGCAAACCCACATGGCCTTATTAGAAAGGAACAGGTTGATCCTTGTTTGAAACAAATCCCAGGACAAAGCGGCTTCCAGCTCCTCAGAAAGGAAATGGAGCTGCACAAAAGGGCACAAATGCCTCTGCTCTGAAACATCCCAGCTGCTCCCTGCTGCCCAAACCACTGCCTGTGGCATGGCAGAGGCCTTGGAGAGAAGGAACCGAGTCCTTTAAATCACCAAGAGCTGGGGCAGGACAGATCTGGGTCCCATCACTTACTGAGTTGTACTGCTCTGGCAACATTGGCTTGGAAGTTATGGAAAACACTGTCCCATGCCAAAGAGAGCACAGCATCAGCTGGACACGGCCTCCTGCTCCCCAGAGGGGTGAGGAAGAAGCCCCATCCCTCCAGTGAGTTCCCAC